TAGGCCTGAATGTTTGGGGTTTAGAGAGTCGAGAGTTTTCTGGGGTAGTCTAGGGCAAGTGCCCAACCCTCAAGTTCGCCCGCCGCCATTCCCTCCCCTCTTGCCCGACCCAGGTATCCAAAAGCCCTAAACCCTAAACCCTAAACCCTTTACCCTTTAACCCCAAAACCCAGTCAGCATTGAAGGCGAACGAGCAGTCCTTGCGGAAGGAGTTGCAGCAGATGCAGCAGGCGGAGGGGATTAGGGTTTCGGGTTTGGGGTTTAGGGTTTAGGGGCTTGGGGTTGTTATTAAAGAAATTGGGAACAATATTTAAACCAATTAAGCATCAATTATATTGCTGAAACATTAGGATAAAAAAACGTGTGTAAACCTTATATTTTAATAACAAAAAGTGCATATTTTCCAACAAAAACCACGTTCATAAATAATTGGCTTAGGGTTTAGGGGTTAAGGGTAGGGCTTAGGGTTTAGGGGTTAAGGGCTTAGGGGTTTGGGAGTTTGGGGTTCAGGGGTGTAGGGTTTAGGGGTTGAGGGTTTAGGGGTGTAGGGTTTAGGGGTTAGTGTTTAGGGGCTAGAAGTTCGGGGTTTAAGATTAGCTTACAGGCTTAGCTGTTTAGGGTTGAGGGTTGAGAGGTGTTGCTTCAAGTGCTCATAGACAAGCATGCCTTCCAGAAGTTTCGGAAGTTAGGCTTCTGCGGCGCTAAAGAACCTGCTTGTAGCCTTGTGTACCATATCTGCCAGTGCAGTGCCCTAGTAGTTTCGGCGCAATTGAGGGTTAAAATGGTTTGGGAAGCAAAGTTCCGACACACCGGCGCATGCAGGGAAAAGGATCAGGGGGTGATAGGGGGGCTACTGTTGGCTTAAGGACAGATAATAGTCCCTTTAAGGAAGAATGTTTTTTCTTGTTTTGCGCGGGGGTGGGGGGGGGGGGGGGGTAGTAAGTCTGTAAACCCTCAAAACCCGTAACAAACCTTAAGGCCTCAAACCCCTTAAGCCATTCAGAGCCTGCAAGCTCCCAACCACCAAACCTAAACCCTAAGCCCTCAAGACAAATGGTTTAGGGTTTAGGGTTTAGGGTTTAGGGTTTAGGGTTTAGGGTTAGGGTAAATCAAAAGTTGTATGTTTTGTTTTTATGAATTTCCCTAGGTATGTGTCTGAGCAGCTGCCAGACTGAGTTTAGTACATAAATCCCCAGCACCTCTGGGAGGCCACTTGCGCAATTTACTGAAGCCGCAAAATTGGATATAAAAGCAAAACGACTTTCCCTCAAAACCTTCCCTCAAAACCTTCCCTCAAAACTTTCCCTCAAAGCGTTGCGTTCAAAATGTTTCCTTCAATACGTTGTTGGGACCCAAACCCTATTCTAATTCTGTTTAACCCCTAAACCCTAAACCCCGGCCAGGATGCCAACCTGGACCGCGCGGCCGAGCGGGCTGCCCTGCAGCAGGCGTTTTTTGTGCTGGCTCTCGGAGTCTGCGGGGGAAGGGGGGGGGGGGGTTTGTTTGGGGTTTAGGGTTTAGGGTTTAGGGTTTAGGGTTTAGGGTTTATAAAGTTTAGGTTTAGGGTTTAGGGTTTTGGGAGGCTTAGGGATGTTAGGGTGTAAAGACTCGGTTTTAGGGCTTTAGGGTTTAGGGTGTTTGGGTTTCTTCCTGGTCTAGGGCTTCTGTTGTGGTCGATGGCGGTAGCGATGATCAGCGATTGAGAGCTCGGTGGGCGTTGTTAAAAGTCTGGCCTGTTCGCGACATAGAAGCATTGTTCCAGGTACCGCCACATGTTTTTTCGGGGGTGGCTGGTAACACACCCATTCTGATGCTTCGCTTGCATGCTTTGTATTTTGATTCGTCCTGTCGGTAGTTTCACAAGCAGAGAAAGTGAAATCCATGCATCCTGCGTTGGCCACTGTCTGAGCGCTTCACTCCCTACAGTTCATCTCACAGTCCCTAAACCCTAAACTCTAAGCCCTAAATCCTGTTCAAGTGTCATCAAATTCTTCGAGCGAAGGGGTGGTGCCTTGACCGGAGTTGACCTGATTCGAGTTGGGAAAACGGCGTCACGGGTAGAGTATGGGAGTAGAGTATACATTGTGCATGCCCTAATGCGCCCAAGGATACGATATTCCTCTTTACTCCAATCCCACAAGAAACCCCCCCCCCCCCCCCCCCCCAACCCGAAAGCACAGAAACTGCCACGTCAACGCTAGAAGTCGTATAAAGCCTAAACCGAAATGGCTCCTGCAATGGTTTAGGGTCACCTCAGCAGATCCCAGGCACTTGGGAGGTGAAGGCCCCAGTAAGCTTCTAGCTGAGGGTTTCGGGTTTGGGGATTGGGGTTTTGTTTTCGGGTCTTGGGGATTTCATGGGGTTCTACCTTGGACCCCAAAGGTTGTACCCTTGGGTTTGGGGACCATTTTGAAGCATCCTCTAAGGGAAGATAAGGAGTATATTAAGAGAACCCTTAGGGGTACATCTTCAGGGGTCCAAGTTCAAGAATTGGGAGATTCGGGGTTTAGTTTTGAAAGTTCGGAAGTTTGGAGACACTAAAGCTCCCTGAACACCGAGCGCTTTTTGGGGCGCTTTACACTTAGGGTTCAGGGTTTCGGCTGTAGGGTTCGGGAAAGGCCTGCTGCGCGACCCTTGCCCTCCATCTCAGCAGGCCCAGCGCGAGCAGGAGGCACTCATGGACGCTGCGGAGCTGCATCACCATGCGCCTCGGCATGCAGATGGCTGAGGGCTTTTTTCATCAACTCTGAACTACGAAGAGTTGATTTTAAAATAGATGTTCAAGTTTTTCTGGGTTGATTTTCAAGGTTTCTGGGTTTAAACACTTAAGCCCTTACGCGTCGAACCTTCATTTACGAAATAGGGCCCCCCCCAGTCAAGCCAACCCAACCCGGCCAAAAAGTTCCAAGGGGCCTCAGGCGGTGTAGGGTTCAGGGTTTTGGGGGTTTTGGGGTTTTGGGGCTTAGCGTTTGGGGGTTTAGGATTTTCGGGTTTCGGTCTTTTGGGGCTTTTGGGGTATAGGAATCTAAAGGCAGTTGGTACGGGAGTTTCCAGAGTCTGTCATCCCCCTTGTGGCGGAGAGATCTTACGTTCTACCAACCCTGATTAATCCCTTGTGCAGCCCAAAATTGACAGGAATCAGAAGGTTAAGGTTCATAGGACCCCTCAAGTCCACCTCAGCTAAGCATGGTGTAAACCCATCCCTCAGCGCCGTCAACACGTATTTCGGCCCTTGCACCCCTTCCCCTTAAATCCTAAACCCTAAACCCCTCCCTCCCCTTCCCCCCCCCCCCCAACAAAAGCAAAATCAAACTCATGTGGACAGCGCGCCGCAGTGCCACGACCCGTTCCTGAACGAGCGCACGGACAACACCAACCCCAACGGCAAAGTGCGGCGTGCTGAGTTCAAAGGCCTGGAGTGTTGGTTTAGGGTTTAGGGTTTAGGGTTTAGGGTTTAGGGTTTAGGGTTTAGGGATTAGGGATTAGGGATTAGGGATTAGGGATTAGGGATTAGGGATTAGGGATGAGGGTTTGGGGGCTCGGGGGCTTCTCTGGGGATTAGGGTCTTCGCTGAGGAATTCAGCGGTTAGGCAGCCCAGCAGGGTTTAGGGTTTAGGGTTTAGGGTTTAGGGTTTAGGGTTTAGGGTTTAGGGTTTAGGGTTTAGGGTTTAGGGTTTAGGGTTGTGGAAGTTGAAGTAGGTTTAAAGGCATGTTTAGGTTATGGCACAGTGCTTGCTTGCCTTTCAGGCTTGGCTATGTGGTGCAAGGTTGGGCAATGTTCCTGTGTGGCTGTCTGACGCCACCCACCTATTGGCTTCGTACTTCGCATTCCTGCAGAGAGGTTGTCACGCGTACAAATTAAATCCTACTGGCTGGTGATGGTTTCGGAGTTACTGCGGACTATCACCCCAGAACCCTACACAGACGGTAAACCCTAAACCCAAAATTGCTAGGTTATTTCCGCTTGTATGGCATACAGTCCCCACAGCGACGGGGCGGGCTGCAAGGGCTTTAGGGTTTTAGGGTTTTCTTTGGCTGGAGGGTTGAGGGTTTGTGGTTTAGGATTTTCATGGGGGGGTTTCCATAGGGTTGTAGGGTTACCCTAAACCCAAAACCCTACAACCCAAAACCACCACAAGAGCCTAAAATTGTGTCTGGACGTCGAGAGGCCGCTGGCAGGTCACAGCTCTTAAAATCTCAATACATTTAGGCCCCTGCTTCCTTCCTCCCGCATCTGCCTTCTCAAACTCTGTGGCATGTGACCCTAAACCCTACGCCCTAAACCCTATAAGCCCTAAACCCTAGAAGGCCCTCGAAGCTGATCCAGAAAGCTCAACCCCTGAAGCAACTTCGAAGCTCCAAAACCACATGTGGGGGTATACGAGAGTGTGGGGCCCACAATGTAGACCCGCAAATCCCTTATAATAGGAATCCCAATATGGTACCCCTAGTTTCGGAAACGCCCATGTAAGTGCAGGTTCATGCTAAGGAACTCAACTCAAGTTACCAGAATGAGAATTGGACGGCTGGTAATACGGGTTCATGATCCGTTTGCTATCTCTGTTCTGAGCCTCAGGCCCTTGTAACCCGACATATCCCATAGAACTTTTTTTCCTCCCCCCCCCCCCAACCCTAACTCTAAACCTTAAACCCCAAACCTTAAACCCTTGTCAAAACCCTAAACCCTAAACCCTAAACCCTAAACCCTAAAGCCCTAAACCCTACCGGAGTTCAACCGCAGGCTCCACCCGCGAGGAACGCTTGGAGGACAATGCGCACGACACCCTATATCCCCTTGCGGAACACAAAATCCTAGGAAATCCCTTCCAAACCCTCTAAGCCCTATAAACACTCTGATAAAGGGCCTTTCAAGTAGGACCTCGGGATATGTTGCATATTCCCTGCTTGGCTTGAACGGGGATCTTTTTCTCGCACGAGGGTATCCTGACCTCTAAGCCCTGGGTAAGAAAGCCGTATAAGCGCTCGGCAAGGCACAGCTAATGGACGTGACTAGCGCTTCTCAAGGTTTAGGGCTAAACCCTCAACCCTAAACCCTAGACCCTAAACCCTAAACCCTAAACCCTAACCCCTAAGCCTTAGGGTTTAGGGACCCTGGGCTCTGCACCCCCGAAGTCCCTGGTAAGCCCTAAGCCCTAAAACCTTGAAGCCCTTAAGCCCTGAGGGGATGTTCCTTATACAAGGGGCCCCCCTAGTTATAAGTAGAGTTACAAGGGCCCTAAATTGGGGTAGAAGGATCCTAACTTAGGTTATAAGTCCCTTTAGTTAGTATAGTAAGAGGGCCCCTCCTTGTAGGGAATTTAGTACCCTTTATTGTAATCCCTAAACCCTAAACCCTAAACCCTAAACCCGAAACCCTAAACCCTAAACCCTAAACCCTAAACCCTAAACCCCCTTAAGGACTGTTAGTATTAGGGGGAGCATCCCAACAGATACGCGACATCGCAGGGGCGCCGACTGTTGGAGCAACAGGCTGCCGAGCAGGGCATGCAGAAAAAGCAGGACAAGGTGCGGTTGGCTTAGGGGTTTAGGGTTTAGGGTTTAGGGTTTAGGGTTTAGGGTTTGGGGTTTGGGGTTTAGGGGTTTAGGGTTTAGGGTTTAGGGTTTAGGGTTTAGGGTTTAGGGGTTTAGGGGTTTAGGGGTTTAGGGGTTTAGGGGTTTAGGGGTTTAGGGGTTTAGGGGTTTAGGGTTTAGGGTTTAGGGTTTGGGCTTTAGGGTTGGGGGGAAGATGTGGGGGGGAAAGGGGGGAAGGGGGCAAGGGGGGGGCTTGTGGATCCTGAACCCTAACCCTAAACCCTAAACCCTAAACCCTAAACCCTAAACCCTAAACCCTAATCCTAAACCCTAAACCCTAACCCCAAAGCCCTGAGATCAGGGTTAAACTCGCGGCTTAGGGCCTAGGACTGCCAAGGCCCTCAAACCTAAGCCCTCAACTGCAAACCCTAGTCGCTTTGTGGTGATGACAGGGTTTAGGGTTTAGGGTTTAGGGTTTAGGGTTTAGGGTTTAGGGTTCAGGGTTTAGGGTTTGGGGTCCCATGCTTCCACACCCCCCAGAACCCAAAAGCCCTATAGCACGCGATTGCAGGCGGAGGAGAACCGATTCGCACTTCTGCAGGAGGCCACCAGGAGGCCAGCGTAAAGAACGCGGCCTTTCTGGAGTGTAGGGCTTAGGGTTTAGGGTTTAGGGTTTTGGGTTTTGGGTTGTAGGCTGTAGGTTGTAGGTTGTTGGAGTGTCCGATCGCTTTCTTATCTGACAGATTGTGTGTGTGTGTGTGTGCGTGCGTGTCTCCCTGAGCCACAGTGCAACTGCAAATCCTGAAAGCTCTTGAACCGCCAAACCCCTAAATCCAGAAAATTCCTCAATCTCCAAAAGTACCCAAAGCATAACCCCCCCCCCCCCCGCCCAAACAAATAAATACATAGATAAGGCCCTTCAAGCCCCTCAAAACCCTAAAAGCTCTTCAACGCGCTCGATAGCCCTCTAAGAAGCCGCTAAGAAGCCGCTAAACTCTAGTGAAAGCGTCTTTTCTTCAGTAGGCCGTTGGGGCTTGCAGTTCCATCTTTTGCAAGCTCATGTTGGTATGCATATTTTCATCTGATTGTTCATGTTTATGTGTATATTTGCAGTCATCATCTTCCTCTTGGGCTGATTACAGGATCATATGGAGGGTTTCCGAAAATGAGGGTACCCGTTTTGGGGGCCCTTTATATAAGGGGGATCCCATTCTATTTGGGGTAGAGAGGGGTGCCCCCATTTTTGAGAAGCCCCCGCATATTGAGGAGCATTCTTCAGAACCCCTAAACCTAAACCCCAAACCCCAAACCCCAAACCCTAAGCCCTAAAACCCAAACCCGAAACCCGAAACCCGAAACCCTAAACCCTAAACCCTAAAACCCTAAACCCTAAACCCTAAACCCTAAACCCTAAACCCTAAACCCTAAACCCTAAACAGCGCCAGCTGTGAGCCAGGCAGCTCATCCTCCAGGAGCGCGAGAAGGCCAACAGCCGCCGGGCGATGGCCGAGCAGATCGCCAAGGCAGGGTTTAGGGTTTAGGGTTTAGGGTTTAGGGTTTAGGGTTTAGGGGTTAGGGTTTAGGGTTTCGGGTTTCGGGTTTCGGGTTTCGGGCTTAGAGTTCTGTCGACAGGACTTCTGGGTGTGCAGATTTCCTACCCTTTAGGGCTTAGGGTCTTCGGGGCTCTTAGGGTTTAGGGTTTAAGGGGCTATGAGTCCCTTAAAGGCCTTCCTCAATATGCGCCTGATATGGCCCTTCTGTTCCCTTGGAGGATCTCTAAAGGGTCCCTAAACGGGGTCCAAGGTAGAGCCCCATGAGGTTTCGGGTTTGGGTACGGGGCTTAAACCCAACGATCGCGGAGCCAAAAGCAGTGGTTGTTTCTGGTTCTTCCTGGGCCCCATGTAGGTGAGGCGGGGGGGGGGGGGGGAGAGGGAGAGTTTGCTTTAAGGTTTGGAAGCTTGCTAGGCTTTTGGAACAGGTTTGCGAAAAAATGCTTAGGAAGCTTCCAGCTGTCTGGGGAACGCAAGAACATGTGCCCTTTTTGATTCCTGGATGGCTGGGGAAGAGGCTCAGGCAGTCGGAGTTCAAGCTTGTCTAACTTGTCTAGGCCCTAAACCACCCTAAGCCCTAAACCCCAAACCCTCACTTCTGTCCCCTTAATCCAAGTATCGCTCTTTCGCGAAACCCAGGAGAACCTCCAGCTGCGAGCCCAGAAAGTGGAGCAGACCAAGGTCTCGCCATTTGCCAAAGCTTACCCCAAGCCCTGCTTACCTGGTGCCCTTGAGAGTTTCGTGTTGGGATGTTCCCCCTCGTACTAACAGTCCTTAATAGTGATAAAACCCTAAGAGCATGCCCATTCTTCTACCTTCACTCCACGTGTCTCCATGTACCGCGCGGGGTTTTGCGGCCGCGGCCGCTCAACCCTAAAACCTAAACCCTAAACCCTAAGCCCAAAGAGGAGCCCTCAAGCTGCTTTCTGTGCGAGCTATGCTGCAATCCTCCTCTCCGAAGCCTCGCAGCAGGGAATCATTGGCATTCCTGGACGCCCAACATCCTAAACTCTAAGCCCTGAACAAACTGATTCAGGGTGGGTTCAGGGTTTATGCTTTAGGCTTTAGGCTTTAGGCTTTAGGCTTTAGGCTTTAGGCTTTAGGCTTAGGCTTTAGGCTTTAGGCTTTAGGCTTTAGGCTTTAGGCTTTAGGCTTTAGGCTTTCGGCTTTAGGCTTTAGGCTTTAGGCTTTAGGCTTTAGGCTTTAGGCTTTAGGCTTTAGGCTTTAGGTTTTAGGCTTTAGGCTTTAGGCTTTAGGCTTTAGGCTTTAGGCTTTAGGTTTGGGGGCTTAGGATTTTTTGGGTTTAGGGTCTAGGGCGGGTTAGGAGCTTTCTAAACCCCTAATGTAGGGGTCGGAATAATTACTAATAGTATCCCCTTATCTCCCCCTTTAAAAGCTGTACGAGAAGAACCCCCAAAACTCCATTCTATGTAGGCCCCCCTCGTATATCCAGCAACAAATGTCACTAGTCCTGGATCGTTGAACTTGAAGAGTAAGGAGTTGATGTCCCCTGTGACTGCGAGTGAGCATTTGCCGTTTGGGCCAGAAGCTGAAAGAGATGTACACCAACAAGTTCTCGGACGACTTCTTCGCGCAGTTTGGGACCACCACCCGATGAGGCCATGCACTTTCTCCCTAGCGATAGTATTTTGCACGCCATAACTTTCACTGCTGAGTAGTTGGAGCGCGGCGCGTATCTCGCCGCGTGGTTTCCTTCGGTTTCTTGCGTGGGGTGGCTGGGGGGGGGTGGGGGGGGGGCGATAATTCCGCCCCCCCTATTGCAACTTGCCAGCATGTCCTCAGTCATTTAGTGCTCCAGTTTGCAGGGTTTGGGGCTTGGAGTTTAGCCTTGATGTTGGGCTTCGGGGTTTAGGCCTCTGGCAACTCTGCAGATGCTAAGACTTAAACCGTAGCCCTCCGACTTGCTAAATCCGCCCTATGGGCTTGGGGGGGGTTAGGGTTTAGGGTTTAGGGTGTATAGGGCTTAGGGGGTTTAAGGGTACTTACGGCTCTGCTTTGTCCCAGGGTTTAGGGCTAGGACTGAGGATTGAGGATGTGGGGCTTAGGGTCGAGGTCTCTGGGTTTGAGGTTCTGCGTTGAGGTTTTCCCAAAACCTGATTCCGGAAATCCTACTGCCCCAGAATCCTCAAGCAACTTTTCCTATAAAGCCCTACACCTTAAAACATCCCTAAGCCCCTAAACTCTAAACCCCTGAAAGCCCTAAAATCCTTGAAAACGGAAAGTAGTTTTAGGCATTTCAGAACTCCTTAAAGGGAGTGAATTCCCTAGGCGAAAACACTAAAATACGTGTTTCCCCCTTAGAGTGCCGTTTATAACGCGCTCCCACCTCTCAGGACGCCGAGTACCTTGTAAATAGCACCATTTTTTGCAAATTCCAGCCATCTTAATTTTCAATCTCTGTACGAAAACGCACGGCGAGATGTGCGCCGCGCACCTAGTTGCAGTAGGCGAACTGAAGCGAAAGTGGAACATGTTGTAACTCAATCTCCAAAGCATTGGGTTCGGAAAGCGTACAAAGAGATGAAATGGCCCAGCCTTCCTTTAGATGTTGTTTCCACCTGGAAAGGCCTGGCAAGGGGGCATGACTTTCTTTTGGGAGGCCCCCTGCTTCATGGTTTGGACACTGCCCTGGACCCGCTAAACTATGTTTCTATGTGCAAGGACGTGCCCCACGATTTCGGGAGGCGTGGCGCGCATGTTAATAACAGATGGGTTTGGTGTGAAAAAGATGCATCCGAAACCCAAAGCCCTTCACGAACGCGAACCAACAAAGCTTGCGCGATTCGATGGATGAGATGGCTAAGAAGACCACGGCCGAGTGTCACGGCTTTGTAGAAATCAAAAGGGGGTAGGGTTTAGGGTTTAGGGTTCAGGGTGCAGGGTTTAGGGTTTAGCGTTTACGGTTCAGGGTTTAGGCGTGTGAATTGTCCCTGTCCAGGACCAGACTGACCTGTCCCACGCCCTACCAGCCCTAACGCCCTTGACTCGATTGGCCGGCCCGGCTGAACCAAACAAGCCACCACACATTTCAGGGTTTAGAGCTTCGGATGACCCGCCGACCATGAGCAAGTCTCAAAGAGCCAAGAACCTGCAAAAAGCGACTCCTTGTCACACAGACAAGAGCCTAAACTCTATACCCTAAACCCAAAACCCAAAACCCTAAACCCTAAACCCTAAACCCTAAACCCTAAACCCTAAACCCTAACGCTCAACGCCAAACCCAAGTGTCCAAGTGCGGCCTTCCGTCTTCAGGACATTCGGCTCCACCTGAGTGGGGGGTTGCGGAAAACTGGCTTCTGGTCCTGGAGCTCAGCTAATTTGTTAAGGTTTTAGGGTTTGGGGTTTAGGTTTTAGGGTTTAGGGTTTAGGGTGAGATCTTCTGAATCAGGGGGTGTATGGATCTTGGGGCGTAATTAAGGCGAAATTTTTCCAGTGAGAACAGTTTCAGTTTCAGGGGCATAGCTCATCTCTTCGTGGGTTGCAGTTGCAGCAAGGCTTCAGGCGCAGGGTCCAGGGGGGTTTCATGTGTAGTCCAGGCACGCTCTCCGGTGAAGCATGCCGCTCAATTGGTGATGTGCTTCATCGTGTTTGCTGCGACGCCGGGTCTCCGAGGGCAGTCGCTGTTTCACTTGGCCTGATGCTGGAGAAATTCGCCAAGATTGCAACATGATGTGAGTTTGCACCACTTATCTCGGATGTGTGCAAGTAGTATCTCTTATCTAGGATATGTTCAGTATGAAGCCTTGACACGAAACTCCCAGCCCTGGGGATCGCAGAGCTCGAAAAATTCCTAAATCATCCAGCTCCAGCCCGATCCATATCTGCGCAGTTCTCGTATCAACAAAGGGCTTAAGGAGTTTCGGGAGGTTCCCTAAACCCTTGACCCTTAACCCTAAACCCCTAAACCCTTGTGAAAATTATCACCTAGTCAAGAGTGCAGAGTGTACAGCCGAGGTCACATCTCCCCACATCATACTCCTTCTTCTAGAGCCCCTTGAGTATTTCCCAAGCCTTGCCCCCGAAACCCAAAACCCTAAACCCTGAACTTTCAGCACACCGTCCGAAGTGATCGGCTTTCAGCACACCCTTCAGCTCCCTTCAGCTCCCTTCAGCTCCCTCCTCGCGCCCGCGAAAGAAATGAGCTGTCGCGCAGCGGCCCTCGCGTTGGCCCTTGTGGCCGTGTCCGCGGGAGCACTCGCATCCTGTCAGTCGGCTGAGGCTGAGTGTATCTTGGTAGCCCAGTGGTACGCTTTTCCGTTTGTCTCCCCCTGGTTCTGAGTAGGGAATGAGGGAAGGAGGGCCCTACGTAGACCCTTTAAGGGATCATATAGGGTAACTACCTCATTCCCTCATTCCCTACTAAGAACCAGCCAGTTGTTTGGTTCAAGGTTCCCTTATATAAGTAACGAAGCCACCAAAGGGTGCCCGTATCATGAATATGGTTACTGGGCTACCAAGGTAAGGGCGGAGAGAACAGTGTCCTGATGCAGCTGCCTCCCCACGCCACACATTCCACTCGCCCGGATCCGCAAGAAGAATTGGCAGAGATGCAAAGCCAAATCGATGAGCTTGAAGAGCGGCTTGAAGATGTGGAAACCTTGCAGCCGAGCTTGCTCGAGGAGTTCGAGGGCAGCGCAAGGCGAGGGGATGATGATGACTCGGGCCACCGCCGCAGGAAGGATGATGACGATGACAAAGAGTACACTGGTGATCTCAAGAGAGCTCGCTACGACCTCGAGTCCTTCGCCGAAGAGCTCAACTTCAAGATTGACGACTTGGTTGGCGGCGAATTTTGCTCGACAAAGACGTGCTACGTCAAAGGTTGTGCGGTTTATTTCGGAGTCACCACATATCCCGGAGAGACACTTCACTTCACGGTGGAGACCACGGAGGGTGACTTCCAGCGCGCCGACAACGTTGTGAACCTCACAGCAAACAGTGACACGCTGGCGGTCGGCTGTTCTTCCCATGAGAGGTGTGGCATCGCGGACGGAGTGTGGGCCCTCAATGCCAGCAGCTGCATGCAGACCAATGGGGAAACCGACGGAGTCTTCCAGTACGTGACGAACTCCTCCAAGACGGTCATCGCCGTCATCGCATCCAGTGGTCTTAGGCGCCGGTGCGGGCAAGTGCTGCAGGCCACCGTCTGCTTTAAAGACAACTTCGGGTTGAACACTCTGAAGCATGATGCTGACGCCATGTCGGCCCACCTCCAGAGCCTTGATGCGCAAATGGCGCAGACGCAGGCCGCGGTGAGCAGCAACACTGCCGCGATCGGTGAGAACCAGCAGGCGCTGGCGAATCTCACCAGCACGGTTGTCCAGATCAACGCGCTGGCGCAGAACAACGCCGGCTGCATCAATGAGACCAAGCAGGCGATTCAAAACCTGAGCCTGCAAGTGGCACAAATCAAGTCGCAGGTGCAGCAGAACAGCGACGAGACCGCCAACCACAAGGCGGCATTGGAGGGCTTCGGCTCCCAGCTTGCCAACGTGAACTCAAGCCTGGGGTCGCAGATCGCCCAAATCGAAGCCTCCGTGCAGAGCAACACAGCTGCCGTGAGCACCAACGCGGCCCAGCTCCAGGAGATTTCCGCCAAGGTCATGGAGCTCAATGCGACAATCCAGGATCTGCTTGCCACCACCACGACCTCCACGACCAGCCCAGCTCCCGTGCCTCTTGAGGGTCGGCCCGGCAGGACCCTACTCGTCAGTGCCGAGAATGGTGTGTTCCTCGGTTGGGCTCAAGGAAGCTTAGGGTTCCGGGTCATTAGGGTTTAGGGGGGTTTAAGGTTTAGGGTTTGGCATACGCACTCAGACGAATCCAGCCTTGGTTATTCCAGGCGAACCCCCAAGCCACGTTGCCTATCTGGGATAACTTGAAACAAGGTACCGGAATCGTTCCCAAATACACGTGCGCGCAGTGAAACTTTTTCAGCATCCCCGGAGCAAGGGACCCCTAAAACCCTAAACTCTGAATCCGAAAGCTAAGCTCCAAACCTTGACATGGGCGCCGAGGTTCCTCTGCTCCATCCCGGAGGTCGGTGCCAGCGGTTTGCCCCTGGATGTCAGCGGCTCGAGCTGCAAGAATTTGGCGCCGGCGGCAGCGGCGGAGTCCAGCAAGCCCTTCAGGACCATCCAGGCCAGGAAAGCTAGGACCCAGAGTTGGTCCCCACTCCTTTCTCTTAGGGTCCAGGTTCCCTTCTCAGCCCCTTTAAGCCAAAAGGGGCACCCTCTGTATTCCTAGGCTTCTTGGGTCTAGAAAGACAACTATACAGTCGTTAGTTCAATATGCGACAGTGCGATAATTGTTCGGTCTGCAAACCAACCATGCAGAGAGGAGAGAACTAGAATGACCACAACGTGAGCATTGAAGGAAATATGAAGTGTTGATGACAGTTCTAAATTAATAAAAGCATCTCCTCCTGAAGATATAGCAGCATTGTATAAAAAACCCTAAAGCAGCATTGTATAATAACCCTAAATTCTAAACCCTGAACCCTAAACCCTAAACCCAAAACCCTAAAGCCTAAACCCTAAACCCTAAGCCCTAAGCCCTAAACCCTAACCGAAGCCACCAATCGTTCCGAGCCAGAGGCCATGCTGTTTAGGGTTTGGGGTTTGGGGTTTTTGTTTTTAAGATATTAGGTTTTAGAGGTTGGTGTGCGGGGTAGGGGACAAGGGCGCGGGGGGGGGGGGGGTGGGCTGGAGGGAACTGGACGGAAAGGGGGAGGGGGGGTGGGGGTGGTGCGAAAGTCTTGAGCGAAAGTTTCTGCCTTAGGTAACATAAGTCGAAAGTTCCGGGCGAACGTTTTGAGCGAACGTTTCTGTGTTAGAGCCTAATCTATATTGTTTGGGGCCTCACGGCCTTGGCTGGCCTCCTGCCTAAACCCTAAACCCTAAGCCCGAAACCCTAAACCCTAAGGACTTTTTGGGTGGGAAGGCTTCAGAGGTTTATGTAAATTGAGCATGTGGCCTTCCAGGGCGCTGTGGATGAATGTACTTAAACTCTGCTTGTCAGCTGTTTAGACAAAGAGCCTGGGAAAATTCCGACTGATACCACATACGATTTCATTTTTTTGTCTTGAGGGTTTAGGGTTTAGGGTTTAGAGTTTAGGGTTTAGGGTTTAGGGTTTAGGGTTTAGGGTTTAGGGTTTAGGGTTTAGGGTTTAGGCCGTGGCTCAGGCACCCAATGGGGACTTCGTCATGGCGGAGAAAGGGAAGAACCGGATTCAACGCTGTGACCTGGAAGGACATGAGCTCTGGGCTTCTAAAGTCTGTTCAGGGCTTAGGGTTTGGGGTTCGGGGATTGGGGAAGACAATGAATATTAATTTAGTGACTGAAACACACTATACTTTTCTATCAGCAATTATATTATCTTTACGCCCTTATAAACTACACCAAGAACGAAGTGGAAACAAGCAAAGAACACTATCATTAGGGCCCTTATAAAAGACTTATAAAGAGGGCCGTAATAATAGTAATAAAGGCTTCTTCATTTGTAAATTAAATTCGTGCTCTGGTTTTCATGCGTGTTTCGTTAACTCGCGAGAATAATGCAAGCGTGAGCACGAAGATAATACATAAATAATTGAACGAAGTGAAGAAGAAAAATCTGTAGAAAAAGAGATAGGAGAAAAGGCCCTATTTTGTAAGGAATAAATTATAAGGCCCTTTAATGGTGTTATTATTAGGACGTTGGGGTTTGAGGTTTGGGGTTTGGGATTTGGGGTCTGGTTTGGTTTGGGGCTTAGGTTTTAGGGTTCAGGGTTTAAGAGTTTTTGTTTGTGCATCTCAGTCAGGGGACATTTTTTTGTTCCAAATCTCCTTTCTCGGTAGGCCCTAGGGTTGTTTCCTGTTGTCCCTTAAGTTGGTCATATCGAGGATTTTTTTCAGAGGGTGTTGTGCGCCATCCAAGGTTTAGCCCTAAACCCTAAACCCTAAACCCGAGCGCTAAACCCTATACCCTAAACCCCAGCCCCTAAACCTTAAACCCAAAACCCTAGCCCTAAACCCTATACCCTCAGCCCTAGCCCTAAACCTATACCCTAAACCCTAGCCCTAAGCCCTAATCTCCTTAAGATGCGCGACAGGAACATGTCAAGCTGTGGCACCTCCAGCTGGCGTGACGTTTCAAGAGCCCCAAGCCGTGCAGCTAGATGAGGCCTAGAAGCCCAAACCCATAGGGTTTAGGGTTTAGGGTTTAGGGTTTAGGGTTTAGGGTTTAGGGCTAAGGGCTTAGGGCTTGGGGTTTGGGGTTTAGGGTTTAGGGTTTAGGGTTTATGGAAATTGTATAGGGTTTGTGTCCGGAGTTCTGTCGGGTTTTGGGGGTGTTTTTGGGGGGTTTAGGTTTTTACTTTTGCTGAAATCTTGCCAACTTCGTTTTGGTTTGGGGGGTTTGGGATATTCTTGAATTTATAGAAATTGTATGGGGTTTGTGTCCGGAGTTTTGTGGGGTTTTGCCGGTTTTGTTTTGGGGGGGGTGGGGGGGGGGGAGAGGGGGGTTGCTGAAATTTGGAAGGTTTTGTCGGGGGCGGTTGGGGTTGTGTTGGGGGTTTTGGGAGTTTTGGGGGTTTTGGGGGTTTTGGGGGTTTTGGGGGGCCTAAGGGGGAGCATCTTTCGGGGCTTTCTTTCCCTGTTCAGGGTCGTTTTTGGTGCCCTGCAAGCCACGCTTTTGTCTGTTTTTTTTTTGCATTGTGAAGGATGAAGGATTGAGGGTTTAGGGTTTTTAGGGTTTAGGGTTTATAGGATCGAAGCTCCAATGTTCCAGTGTGTCAAGAAAAGGAGTTGGGACAAATGGTCTTTCACACCACCCCTGGTAGCCAGCATTTCATGTGGCGAGACGCGGTAGCCACGGTTGTGAGAAGAATGGGGGTGGCGCAAGCTGAGTAGCTGAGTGAGTACACTTTACACTCTTGGGATACCATCACCCCCTATAGAACCCTAAACCCTAAACCCTAAACCACTTTTCTGGGGCCTTTGGACTCAGCAACTAAGCAACATTTCCCCCATCATGGGGATGGTGCAAGAACGTGCAAGATGTCACAAAATCCCACCAGCCTCTTGCGTGACGTGCCCTAAACCGTAAAGCCTAAACCCTAAACCCTAAACCCTACACCCTGCACCCTAAGCCCTAAACCCTCAAAACCCTAAACCCTAAACCCTAAGCTCTGCCAGGCTGGGAGGTACATCATCGGCGACTCCGGCGGCGTGTGGCGGTGCGACGAGGCGACCTGCGAGCGGCTGGGCCCTCCCCCCGTCGTCCCCTATCCCGATTCTTGGGCTTGAGACAAATCCACATGCTCAGCTTGCTAAGAGGATAAAACTTATGTAACAGATCTTATAGAAAAGAGGATAGAACTTATGTAACAGAACCCTATCCCGATTCTCGGGCTTGAGACAAAGCTCATGCTCAGTTTGCTAAGGTACTGGGCTTTGGAGTACAATACTATACTTTCATACTTTTTATGGTTCTGGGTTCCTATTATAGCTACTTATACCTACAAAGTATATCCTTTTTTTCCAGGGTCTACTCCAAAGGTGGGTAGGAGGATAGAACTTATGTAACAGATCTTATAGAAACCAAGTAAGGAGTATCCAGACTACACTATGAGCGCCCTTGATCACGCAATCGACGTGCGAATGATGGGCTCCGACATCTTGGTGTCTGCGCTGAACGGCGACCGAGTTCAGAAGTGCCGGGCCGAAGTAAATGGGACATGTGACCTTGCCCCTTTGATGCATTTTGAGTCTTGACCACACCCTGGACCCTGTTCCCCATTTCCGGGGCTGCAAGCACAGGGAGATTAGCCAAGGTTTTGCTTGTGCAGATGTACTGCGCCGTCCCTTCGCAAGATGGCTACTACTTCTGCGATCCCGCATTCGGCGGCACGAATGATGACAGCATCAAGTTCTGCCCCTTTGAGGATGCACCGTGCCAAGATGCCAACCTCGAAGTGGTGGCAGGAGGAGTGCGTGGAAGCGGGCCGGAAAACTTGTTCCTGCCCCATGACGTGCTCATTGAGGGCTCGGGCAACCTCATTGTTGCGGATTCCTTCCAGAACAACCGCATTCAGCGCTGCCCGCCAAAGCAGAACCCAGGCACGCCGGAGGCTTGTGAGACTCTGTGACCTGACAGTGTTTTGGGGAATGCTTTTCGTGTTTCGTGTGAGCTAAGACTTTCTTTCTTTCCAACAGGGCTGAGCCCTAAGATCCTCGAAAGCATTCTTAACGGGGTGGCCCGAAGCCCTACACCCTCATTCCCCCAAAAGCACAACGCAAAGGTTTGTTGGCCTCAGCTTCCCTACTGGTCTGGCCTACTCAACGACCCAGTTGCTGCCACAAGCAGTGTCAGCCGGTGCAACTGCCATTCCGGCGGGGATTTGTTTGCCAACAAAAGCTTTTTAGGGTTTAGGGCTTAGGGTTTAGGGTTTATAGGGTTTAGGGTTTAGGGTTTAGGGTTTAGGGTTTAGGGTTTAGGTTTGGGCTTAGATAAGCACGCGTACTACATGAGCAAGAACAGCTGCGAAAATAGCGATTGCTGATAGCAGTTCAGCAGGTCTTGACGAGGACAGCCATAGAAGTGAAAGTAATGATAGACCGACTACTGATGCTAGGCCCTAAACCCTAAACCCTAAACCCTAAACCCTAAACCCTAAACCCTAAACCCCCTACTGATGCTAGGAGTGCATCATAGCAACAAACAATACGCATGATGAATTTGGATCCAGTGCTCTCCTACCCCTAAACCCTAAGCCCTAAACCCGAAACCCGAAACCCTAAACCCTAAACCCTAAACCCTAAACCCTAAACCCTAAACCCTAAACCCTAAACCCTAAACCTTACATAAACCCTTACCCTCCTGCGATTGCACAGGTGGCAGATGAAAGCCTCTTTGTGGTCGGGGATGCCGTCGTCGTCGCGGATACCTTGAGGGAGGAAAAGGTGGTGATTGCCGTGTCCAGTGGCAGCCTCACCCTGGACTCTGCCCTGGCGACTTGAAGCTTTTGATATTATGTAGGGTTTAGGGTTTCGGGCCTAGGATTCAGCACTTCAATACAAGTGCCCAATTGCTGGAGCTACTCGTAGGCACTGTAGGTACGCAGAATTCCCAGTAGCAGAGCTCGTATTTTCTTGTTTAGGGTTTAGGGTTTAGGGTTTAGGGTTTAGGGTTTAGGGTTATCCGCGGTCCCTTTTTTGGCCGGGGGGCTTCTAACCGTATTGACTCCTTTGATGCAGCAACGGTGGGCGTAGCAGGCGAACAGCTATTCCACAGCCGGAAGCATCACCGTGATCGCCCAGGGTGCTCGCTGAGCCGGACTTTAAATCTTGGAAGATCCCAATTCAATTCATTTCATGCTGGCTGTGCAGTGCTCAGGGCTCGCTTGTCTTTCACAAAGAGCCCGCTTCATGGTTGGTTTGGAATGCCAACTTGCAGAAGCGGCTGGTTCCCTAACAGAAACACAGCTTCGTGTTCCCTAAACCCTAAACCCTAAACCCTAAACCCTAAACCCTAAACCCTAAACCCTAAACCCTAAACCCTAAACCCTAAACCCTTACTGGGAGCACGTAATAGCTTGTATAGCTTGTTGTGGTTTTGGACAGGCGGGCACTGCATTTCACTCGAATCAGCAGAGTGCTTGTGACGCGTGAAGCACAGACAGAGGCTTTTAATGGCCCCGGTTTGCAACTGTTTGCGGAGGGCCCCGGAGCTCAGACCCATGACTCGTTGGACTTTGAGGGTGCTTCTTTTGGGAATCGGCATGATTAAAACCCGATTGTGCTTACCTTCAGCGGGTCACTGGGTCAGTGAGTGTTTAAGTCGAATTGACAGTTAAGATGGCAGCAAGCGGAAGTTAGATCGCTTCGTAGGAGCCATCGAGAACCACTCTCGATGGTCAGCCAGCCCCCTCGGCCCCCCTGAAAATCGTTTCCCCGGCGCTCCTCTGAAACAGAGGGATCGTACGGGTGGCCTGAACTAACAAAGGAGAGCAAGAAACTTGGAGATTTAGAAATGCAAGAAGAGTGCCTCGTTCTGCTTGTGGGGGCAAACTTTTTGTGGCGCAAGG